AATCCTTTAATAGTTGTAACAGGTTTTAAATAACTATCTCGTCTACAAAATCGTTTAGAAAAACGTCACCTCTCATATTTCACCCATTTTATTGATCATACGCAAAAATGGTATGTATAACTGTAGCATATTTGCATATGCAGATGAAACAGTCACAATTTTTCAATGTTCTGGTTTAGAACATGCAGTTGAACAAACCTAAATCGTCACAAACACTTAAATATTATCACACAAATTAGAGACTACCTATTCTATCAATCACGGTAAAACAACTTTTGAACATTACTCATTTATAACCAATTTTTATGTCTGGAGTAACTCAATTTACTAAAGATAAAATATTCTGCGTTGATGTAACTCTGACAATTAATCGATAATATTGATAAACTTATTTGAGGAATTGCACAGCGATTTTATAAACGTATCTAAACTTTTGAGGGTCTTTAATTATACGAACTCAACAAGATATCTAGATTGTGATTAAATTGTTGTTGAATATTTGTACTGAACCGTTTGACATGTACTGAAAATTTGTTATTAAATTCTCTATCTGATAAGCTAATCAAAAAAATGGGTGTTCCATATAAAATTTTCGAGTTTTTTGCAGTTGACTATATTAAAACAGTAGTTACATTTTTGGAACACGCTGTATAAGATAGACCGTTATAATCAATGTCGCTCCATTTGAGGATATCCAAGAAGAAACTATACCAATTTTTAACCTTCTAGCTCAACCTTTGGCTGAGCAACTCAGCACATAGTGTTAATTGATAAAAAAAGCTTCTAATCAATATATCTCAAAAACTAAAAGCTACCCAGTGCTTTCAACATATCTTATCAAAGTCAACATGTTTTTGTGTTGTTTTTCCATTTAAAATAACATGTTTATGTGAGTACTTCATTATGGAAGATAATTTTCCGTTTATGTGGTAAACTTCCTACAACTTTTCTCTAAAGAACGACTAACGGTGTATCTCGGCTCTTAATACCATTTATGTGCTTTGGCGTTTACGTGGGACACCTGTATAATTATTAAGCAAACAATTATGAAGATGCTACTTGAAAAAAGTTTTCTGCTTAAACTTAAAATCATTGGGATTTTTTTAATTATGAGTTATATTAATAAGGATAACTCAAAAGTGAAGAACAATTTTATCTAGATTATACAGGATTGCTCATATGTATGGAGACGACCGGTTATTTCCTAGAGTAAGATAGCTAGCGAAGATAAAAAAGTTTTAATGTTTTTTAAAATCTATTACAATAGAGAATAAATTAAGTATACAGGGTCAATCAAAAAGTTGTGGCTGAAACAAAGTTACGTATTCTTTAATCAAAAAACGGTATAGAAATATTCTACGTTGCTGTAACTCTGATAATTAGTCGATAACATTGATAAACTTATTTGAGGAATTGCACAGCGATTTTATAAATGTATAAGATAAACCAGCATAGTCTATGTCGCTCCATTTGAAAACATCAAAGGAGAAACTACACCAATTTTTAGTTTTCTACCACGACATAGTGTTAATTGATAAAAAAGCTTCAATTAATGTATCTCAAAAACTAAAACCACTAGGTATCAACATGTCTTATCAAAGTCAACATGTTTTTGTGTGTAGAATAGAAATTATATCATTACAATTTAAGGTAACATGTTTATGTCAGTACGTCGTTAAGGAACACCCTCTATGTATAGAAATATTTTCCCTTTATAGTGTCCTATAACTGTTCTCTAAACAAGAATGTGTATCTCATACAACACATCATAAAATTAAAGTTAACCATTTTGCAGATATCGAACTGTGTATCTCAAATGTCATTTATGTACTTTGCCGCTTACGTGGGACACCTGTATAACTATTACGATGATGTTACTTGGAAAAAAAATTTTGCTTGGGAAGTAAACTTCAAATCATCACAATTATAGTTTTAAGGATATCTCAAAAGTGAAGAACAATTTCATCAAGATTATACAGGGTCACTGATATACAGGGTGTGTCAAATGTCTGGAATATAGCCAATAACTTCGCCATTTGCGGTTTTAAAGAAAAATGTTTTAAATACAAGTTTTTTTATTAATCGCGGCGCACTTTTTGGCGATGTTTGCTTGTTTGTATTGTTTTTGTTTCGTTGCTATGGCAACCAACATTGTTATTTTAAATGGTATGCATACATTTTTTTGCACACTTTGATATAGGATAAATCCCTCTATGTGATGAACATATCAAATCATATGGTTGTATAAGAAAAAAAACGCGATTTCTAAAAATATTAAATCATCAAATTACAATCAAAGTAGGTGTCGAAATAACGCCGTTGACAATTTGAAATGTCAAAAAAATGACAGTTTCAACAATTATGAATAATTAATAATGTATGGGTGCGGTGACACACATTTAATGTAGTTTCGTCATTGGTGGCTGTCTTCGGCCGTCCACTTTTTGGACGGTTTTTAACACTTCCGGCGTTAAAGAATTTTTTTAATATTTTGGATACCGTAGATTGTGTAATTTGTGTATTTTTGAGTGCGTTTTCTTTCGGCATACTTCATTAACACGTTGACTGCCGCAATAGTCACTAAAAGTCTCATGGTGCATCTCATGGCTGTTCTGGAAATTTTGCCGTGCATCAAGTTACGCTTCTCATGGCCTTCTTCAGCCAACGTGTTAATATTTGTATTCTTAATTGGGGCCATATTTGTTTGAACTGTCAATTTTTTGACATTTAAAGCTGTCAACGGCGTTATTTCGACCCCTACTTTGATTGTAATTTGTTGATTTCATATGTTCAGAGAACGCATTTTTTCTCGATTTTTTCTTGTACAACCATATGATTTGATATGTTCATTGCGTAGAAGGATTTATCCTCTATCAAAATATGCAAGAAAAACATATGCATCCCATTTAAAATAATAATGTTGGTTGCCATAACAACGAAGCAAAAAACGATGTAAATAAGCAAAATGCGCCACAATTAATACAAAATTTTTTATTTGAAACATTTTTGTTTAAAACCACAAATGGCGAAGTTATTGGCTATATTCCAGACATTTGACACACCCTGTATATAGAATCGGGCGGTTATTTCCTAAAGTAAGATAGCTAGCGAAAAATGTAAAGATACAAAAGTTTGAGTGTTTTTTAAAATCTATTATAATAAAGACAAATTGACTATACAGGGTTAATCAAAAATTTTCTTTAATGAAACACCTGTATATTATTCCATATATTATTTCATCTCAACTTAACCGTTTTCCAGATACGAATTTTGAAAATGTATGAATTTATATGTATAATTAGTTACGTAGTTTATCTTTACGCGAAAATTATTTAAACTAAATGTATTTTTGAGTTGTTATATCACTGCGTTGCTATGGAAATAGAAATTTTTAAAGGTAACTTGATGAACTATCAACATAAACGACTAAAATATTTTTGTGTAATTTATAAGAAAGTAATTTTTAAAGTTCAATATCTCGAAAACGGTTAAGTTTAAGTTTATGATGCGCTATATGATTAATATACAGGGTGTTCCTTGTTTCATCATTAAATTTTTGATTGACCCTGTATACACAAAATTTTTTTATCTTAACATTTTTCGATTACCGTTGGTTTCGATAGGTATTAGTGACCCTGTATAAAAAACGAATACTGTATTTTATGAAAATTTCAATGTGCGTTTATATTTTTAGCAACGAGACACAAAGCTTGAACGATACGAATCAATATTTGAAAACTGGAAGGGTTTCATCGTACACTATACTGCTTCCACGATATCTAGAAACTTTTAAAATCCTGAAACCCACTAGATTTACCAATAAATAAATGCAATATCAAAATGTTTAAAAAAAAGTATTATTTAGAAATCTTGAAAATAAGTAATAAAATTGATCAAAAAATTAGAATTGGTTGGAAATAAAAGAAAAATTGAAGTGGTTGAGTTTCGATTTTTCCCTATTCTCTTTAGTGGAGAGTAGGGTTTCGATGATCCGGGTGTTGGGACGTCGACAGCTCGCGTATCGACGCTGCAGTTGCGTAACAACGACGGGCGCCACAACGCTGAAAGCGGTCGCCATGGAAACAGTGAAACGGCGTTTCCATCTCGCGTTACCATGGAGCGGTCGATGCTGCACTTTCCCGCCCGTTTTCCACGGCCCAATCGAAACCCAACACTTTTCCAAAACCTCTTTGTGTTTTTGTGTTTTACACTTTTCATCAATCTCATTTAAAACCATCAAGTATAATCATAATGTTTTATATTATATCACATAAGAAAGAATTTTTATATCATATTTATACAATCAAGAAGTTAACTTTCTTTATTAAAATGATAAATGGGGCTTTTAAGTTAAAATTTGCGAGAAAACATAAAACCGACAAAGCGAAACTTAACGTAAGAGTTGTAGAAAAAAATAATAATAATAAAACCAACATTACATGGTGCAATAACTCGAAACTTTTTATCGTCGCTGCGTATAATTCACATTCAACAGGTCGCTTTATTACTTTCATTAAATTTTCATTCATAATTCCGTCGTTCTGTCACTCAACACCCGTTTTTATGTAACCAGAAAAAGAAATAAACTACTTCGAAAAAAATGGTGGATGCGCCGGACATTTTTTATCCCACCTTTGGACGTTCAATTTCGGTTGTTTTAGTTGTAAAAAAAGTCGAAATGAAATGATTCCGTATAAGTAGACGTCCAGTCTGGGGTTAGAAATATCGAGTGATGCGCCCCTTTTCGCCAGGGTGGTGGTATCGACCCGGGGGTCGTTGTGACGCCCTCACCACCGACTACTAACTGCATTAAAAGCGCTAAAAATCGACCCAACTACCACTTGGCCCACTGCTTGGGTAGCTCGCTCGCGTCTTAATTCAATTAGAACGAACTGCACGCGCGTCTCGACGCCTCATCGATTTTACTCAAAACAACTAATCTAATCCCTTTTATTTAAAGATAAATTTAATCCACGAATTATAATAATTACAATATTTACCATCATCATTTGATCTTCGCCCGAAAAGTTCCATGGATTATTCCCGACGTTTCCTCTCCGTGTTCCACCTCTAGGTGAAGGTAAAGTGATCCCCATGGCTCGTTCCCTTGAAGCTTCTCTCATTGCTTTCCTGATTCGAGCTTCTTTTGGATTGTAAACGTAATCTAAAAATTAAAAAATATTAAAGTTATTTCGCCTTTTCGAATAAATTTTATAAGAAGATTGTTAGACTTACGCAGAAATCGATTCCTGCGGGTAAATTTAATTTAAATTCAAGGGTAACCGAAGGAAATCGATAAAAACTGTTGCTAAGTCGGGATTTTCCGAAGGAAATCCCAAAAGAAATTTCGGTAAGGTTCAAAGTTCGGGGAAAGCTGGGGAGAGGGGGGGTTGAAGTTAACTCTCAACTAGCAAAACGACACGCTGACCTAGTGAGGGTTAATTCGGGTCTCTTTCGCGACGGCGTTTCTCTTTCTCTGTTACTCTCTCCCGTAAATGTGAACATTGTACGCGTTCAACCGCGCGCACACACACTTATCTCGTATATTGAGCCCGTATTTCCATACGCAGCTAATTAATTAGCCACGAAAATCGATGATTTGGCCAAGGTCGGACGATGTCAGTGGACTTGGAAAAAAATTCTTCGATAAGAAACACTTACAAAGAATTTTATGACCAATTCAAAATTGCAAAAACAATTCAATTGGTTATGAAACATTTCCACATTCTTTGTAACTTATTCACCCAACAACGTCATCATAAAACAGTAACAGTTTTAGTCATAGATTGTGATTTATAAACATTTCATAAACATTCTTATCTTAATTATTAATTTATTGAGTTGAAATTTTCGAAGCACGTGGTCTAATGTTTGTTTTGTTGTGGGCGTGCCAACAAAATCTCCCGCCAAATCCCACGTTATTCTCCCCCAAATCAAAATAAGATAACAAAATCATAATAATGCAAGAAAATAAATCAGTCACTAAAATACCTGTAAACTGATTGGAACATTGCCACTGTTGCTGCTGATGATAATAAGGTTGATAATAATCCTGGTAATTATGCCCGTAATACTCGTGAGGATACGGAAACGCGTCGTAATAACTTTGCGAACCATAATACTGATGTCTATATGGCAAAAAGTTACAACAATCCATTTTTTAGTACTAATTCAAATCTAATTAAAAAACGATCTTTTCTTTTCTAATTCCTTTGATTCATGATAAATTTGAAACAAAAAGACGTCGTCGTTGTTTCCGACCGTTTTTGTTTAATAATAAGTTTCTTTTGGCACTTGTGTAAATAAAAAATAAAAATAAAACGGAAACTCTTAGAGCGCACCGGACCGAAAACGGGATGCCGGAGCGGTTGGAAGCGGCGTTGTAGTTGTCGACGTCGTTCGGCGTCGTCGCGCGTCGTAATGCGGGTGGCGGAGGCGTCCGGAGAACGTGTAGGGCCCCCCAAAACAGGACTGTGCTGTTGCCGAATCGATACGGCACGGCGCTCCGCGTGCGCCGCCCGACGCGAACTGGGTCATTCGCCCGAAGTTTCGACGCCGGACGCGCGCGCGCCGAGACGCCCCCGATAGTCGCGCCGTCGAAAGACCACCAAAGCGCGATATCCACAGGATGCAGAATCGATTCCTCCTCCGCTCTCCAACAAACTCTACCTACCCAACATCCACGATGCGTTTTATCTCTAAATCAATGAAGGAGAACAAGACATTTTTAAGATATTTTATTAAAATGTCAACACAGTTAAGTTATTTTAACAAAATCCAACTTGATTTTTATTTAACTAATGTTAGATCTCATTCAAACTTTTAAGATACTTGAGTATTGTATACTTATCTTAAAGCATAACTTGGAAAAGTAACAATACAAAATTGCATCATCAACGAATTTGACAAATTATTGAAGGCAAAACCGGCGATGCAACAATTAACACAATAACCTTTAGAGTTTACGCGATACAATTGTGATATAACGACTGTTATGATAAGTAGGTGAACAATTACACAATGTTACAGCGAAAAACAACAAATCTTGGGAATATTTCCTCCATCAAAACATGTAATTTTTCAAAAATTAACTCAAAATACTCATAAACAAATTTGTCAACGAACAAACTTGAAAACCAAAAATGACACGAGATAATGTAGTGAACAAAAATTGTTTATAGTGAATGATCAAAACGCAATTCGTAAGATAATATAGTACAACTAAGAGTATTACCAACTTCTGGGAAGTTAAAATACCAAACTTATGAATTTTGACGGATTTATCGGATTATCGATGAATCTGAAAAAATCTACAGGTGTCCCTGGATTGTGTTCCCGTTAGGTATAATTGACGATAAATTTTTGAATTCTAATCCCATCTTTTGCAATTAAAGTCTGGATGTCATAAAACGAAACATAACCAAGTTTTACGTCAAATATCCTCAAAGTACCAAAGTTAACGCAAGAAGTTTGTTAACCTGCAACGGTAAACTGGTCTTTCTGAGCAATGTACAACAAAAGTTAATTAAGATAAAATGTTTGTTATGTTAAATTATAGCGATATGCCGAATTTTATTAATTTAGCATATAAAAGAAAAAATGAGTTTTTTCTTGAAAATTTTTTTGTAATATTCCGTTTTCCAATAAAAACAAATAATCTGAGTGAACTAACAATTATCATTTGATAGCTTAGCTATAGCCTATTGTCAAATATTAATTGATCATGTTTACATTACAACATAAAATATTTATAGTGCAGTGCTATGGAACATTAGTTACAATGCAGTTTTAAGGCAATTTGAGGAAAAATTTGGATTTTTAGTAGATAAAAAACAATTAAGAGAGTTGTTTTCGGAAACGGGCAATGTGGAAAATAAAAGGAAGGAAAAAAAGCTTTTAGATGAACATGATGCGGGGTCGATTGTTGCAGTAACCAACGCAATGGATGCAAAGGGCAGTTCAAGTCGGTATAAGTAAATCCCATTTACAAAGAATTTAAAATTTAGTTTAAAACAAAAAATTGTAACTATTATTAGAGAAATTCCGTTGGACCATATTAGAAAAAGTTATAAACAATGTCGGAAAAGGGCTGAATTATGTGTTAGTGTTGGTGGTGATATCATTGAATAAGCTTTTATATTAATTTAGATTAGATCGAAAATGTTTTGTTAATCTTATGATTTAAAAATCTGCACACTTTGCTTTTATATCCTAAATTAATAAAATTCGGTATATCGCTATAATTTAACATAGCAAACATTTTATCTTAATCAACTTTTGTTGTACATTGCTCAGAAAGACCACCTTACCTGTAACGGTTAACAAACGTCTTGCGTTAACTTTGGTACCTTGAGGATATTTGACGTAAAACTTGGTTATATTTCGTTTTATGACATCCAGACTTTAATTGCAAAAGATGGAATTTGAATTCAAAAATTTATCGTCAATTATACCTTACGGGGACATACTGTATAGTAAGAGAACAGGAAATCACAAAATCAATCGTTACGCATACACCAAAAATAATAAATACGGCCTTCCTATACTATCTGCCAGGTGAGATCGTTAATATGCTGAAGAATAAAAGAAAAATATACAGAGACTATCTAACTAAAAAAAAAACAGAATTTAACAAAGCTAACAAACAGATTCAAAGAGCGATCAGAACATTCCAACTAGATCAATGGTTGAAGGTATGTGAAGAAATAAATGAAGACCAAGGACGATCCTTTTGGCAGAAAATTAAGAAAGTTACCAAGTATCGCAAATCTAGGTTAATTCCACCGTTAATATGGGAAGATAAAGAACACAAAACACTTTAACATCGCGTTTAGCCCAAAAGAAAATATTTTCTTTGACGTCAACAACAAGAATATTGTGTCGGAAGCAAATGCCGATATTGAAGCAGACGACTACATGGACCACATCAATAAAGGAAAAAAATCATCCCAGGAAAAGACCTAGTAACAAAACCCCTACTAAGGAACCTCAATTCCAACACACACATATTCATACGTAATTCTATGAATTATTGTTTAAAATCGAGACAAATATCGAATATATGGAAAACCGGTAGCATTGTAGCTATCCCCAAACCCAATTCAAACCATCATCTACCCAAAAACTACAGACCAATCACACTCCTTCGGGTAATAGGTAAAATCCTAGAAAGAAGATTTACCAATTTGGATTCAAACCAAACAACTCCACTAAACATCCGTTAGTTCTGCTTGTAAACAACATCCAACTGAACCACAAATTAAATAAGAAAACTATTACTTTGTTCCTGGACATTAACAAAGCGTTCCATACAGTTTGGCATACGGGATTGTTATTGTATTTCAATCGTTATTCAAAATGGGCATCAAAAGACACATAATTACTTTAATAGACGAATTTTTGAAAAATAGAACGCTTCATGTAAGAATCGGCGACAAACTTTCATTCCCTTTCACACCTAAACAAGGCGTCCCTCACGGTCCCCCCCTTTCTCCCACCTTATACAATATATACTGCTATGACATCTACACAGAAGATCCTAACCATTTCAATCCTGACCTCTATATCTTGCAATATGCAGACAACACGACGCTCATCTCACATAGCAATACATTGGACAAAGCCACATCAAATTTACAAACGCTATATAATAGAGTATTGAAGTGGTTACATAAATAGAGACTTACTCCCAATCCGGGAAAATTCCAAGTCATGGTCCAACCACAGCATTTGCGAAAAATCTCCAACAGTGTATGCTGGCAACCGACGAGTAAGACCATCCCCTTCTGTTAAATACCTAAATAACTATCCAAGCATTACAAAACCAAAAGAGACGAAGGGAAAAATACTTCCAAGCACTAACTTATAAAAACAAAGGGATACACACCAACACGGCAATGAAGATCTATAAAGCCATATGCAGACCAGTATTAGACTATGGACACATATTAACTATTAACGCGAGTAATAAGAGTAGTTTTCTCTCTATAGTAAAATCGATTTATAAGAAAGTAAATAAATCAGATTTTACAAATTCCCGGCCAATTGCACTAATTGCTAACATTGCAGAAGTTTTTGAGAACAACAATTGAAGCCAGCACAGCAATTTTCCAGTTATTAGAACGAATTCAAACTGGAATTAACAACAACGATCTTACCAGTTGTATAATAATGGACCTAACTAAAGCATTTGACAGTGTCCACCATGACATCTTATTGAAGAAGTTGAAAGTTATGAAGAAGCTTCCGCTGGAGTGGTTCAGATCTTACTTGTCAGAAAGAGAACAGCGGGTGGTCTCGTATGATCAAACTGGTAGTAAAGTTACTTCAGACTGGACAAAGGTTCTGCGAAGCGCCCCACAAGTATCAATATTGGGACCTTTTCTCTTTATCCTATACATCAATGATCTTCCAGAAGTGATAGAGGATCTACTAATTTTTTTTTAATCTTTTGTATCAATGTATCGTTTTTTTTTGTAGACATGGAAAGAAATGTTATTATTATTAGTATATCAAGAAAATGGATTTTAAAAATTGTTCATAATAAATCACAGAAACGTAAATCATAAACAATTTTGTATAATTTTTTAATTGGTAGTAACACACTTCATTATCCTTGTGAATTTTTCTTGTATTTAAATTAATACATGTCTACAAAGTTAAGTACGACGTTTCGAGCGTAATATTCGCCCATCATCAGGTACATAACAATATACAAAACATCAAATCACTGTAAACTATCACGTTATCTCAAACAAAAATTAAATCTTAAAAAACATATACAGTATAAATCAAAACATTAACAAACAACATCCAAATAATTTTATTTACCTACGTACCATCAATTGAGTTTTTATTAGTTTTTTATTATTAATTTGTTCATTATATGGAGAAAATTTTTTGATCTTACCAACCTCAAATTTGTCAATTTTGACGAATTTCACAACAAAATGGGTTTTCACTCAAAAATTAAAAACTTTATGCAACAATTATTTTAATAAAAATTGTTCATAATAAATCAAAAAAACATAAATCATAAACAATTTCTCTCCAGCTACTTCGTATATTTAGTTATAGAGTATAAAATCCTCAATTCTCTAAATTGGTGTTTTTGGATAATAGTTATTATTATAACTCGAAAACTAAAAATGTCACGACTTAATGTAATGAATGAAAATTGTTTGTAGTGGATGAACAAAATACAATTCATAAGCTATTGTAACCCAACTATGACTATTACCAACATCTGCGAAGTTAAAATATCAAATTTATCAATTTTAATGGATTTAACAACAAAATGGATTTTAACTCAAAAATTAAGAACTTTATGCAACAATTATTTTAATAAAAATTGTTCATAACAAATCACAAAAACATAAATCATAAACAATTTCTTTCCAGCTACTTCGTATTTTTAGTTATAAACCATAAAATTGTCAAAATCTCTAAATTGGCGTTGTTAGATAATAATTGCTATTATAACTCAAAAACTAAAA